GATAGACGTTTTTATATCGTCATCCGATATATATCGTTATATCGAACAGCCCTATTGGAGAATGGCTTGAGGACGGTCTTGTCAAATTCGACATTCCACCACAGAAAGAAAAAGCTGTTGTCCATGACAATGGTGCTAATGTTGTAGCAGCTGTAAAGATTTTGGTAGAAAAGCATGGACGGGCATCAGCAATTAGATGGCATTCACTGAGCTAAAGGATAAGCAGCTGCAAATGAGCACACCACAGCACATGCTTCAAGATGTAAGTATTCACTAGAATAGTATTTATCAGGTTACCCAGGCTTCTGGAACAAAGATGGCTTGTGACTGCTGCACTGTCTGACCCAGCAGTGGCTCCACGAGGAAAACAACACTATCTTGATCTGAAGCCTAAACAGTAGAACCTGACTAATGAACTGAGCCAAGCCCTTGAGCCAGTTGAAAGGGCTACAGTAATCCTGAGTGGGAAACATTGTGTTACACTCTGTGCTTCAACAACTTGCCCAAAATCTGAAGACGTCCATATAGAGTTGAGTTTTGCGACTTCAGAAGCAAGGTCCGTTCAGGCTCATGTGCCTGAACTGATCACAGCAAAATACAAAAATTATTTTTCTGTTTCAACCTGAATCTCTAAACAAGTTCTTGCCACCTAATGAAGCATTATAGGTCCAAAGCACAGCACAGGTTTTGGCACTCACTGCCAAAACAGAAGCAAAGCAGCCCAATGGAAGTGAAAATAGAAACCACCTTTCATAGTGAACTGCACCTCTGGCAATACTATTTTCACCCAAGGTCACTGTTCAACATGCTTTCTATGCACGTAGGCATTCATCCAGTCATATACACACTCCCGGAGATTAAAGTCAGCTTAATTTCAATATGTAACCTGAGAAGAGTAATCACTTGTTGTGGAAATGATGCAATCTTTAGGCCGATCTTCCAAAACAGTCAAATCACTATCATGAAGTCACATAAAACCACCAGACGGGAGTAGAAAACAAATCTGTGACCTTACCTGCAGTTCCAAGTGTTTTGTAGAACCGGTACTCTAAATGCAGCTGTGGTGCCCTCGACTTCACTGGTTCCTGAATGGTAAACACATCAGACCAGTGTTCAATAAATCGGACAGAAACACTGGAATAAATGCAGTTTTAATGCTATGAATTTCACCTTGCAAATGTTTGTGTATGGGCCAACACTTCAACAAAACATCACATTTGAGCTAAAGAAAAATAGTTTGAATATACTTAAAAATATACCTAAAACAGTCACTTTGCTGTGCCCCCAAACTCTAAACTTTATTTCCAGTTAACTGTTTTGAGCTTTCAAACTCAACACACTTTAAATTGAAACTTCTTTTTTTTTTCAGCTCAAGTGTCAGCACACCATACAATAGAGCGAGTAGCTAAAAGCCATTTGGTTGGTAAGCTTAATACGTTGATTCTGTAGCAAATTACAACTCTCTGGTGAGCAATAATAAGGGCATGAGTCAGGAGCCATGATTTCCAGTCCAGCAGCCGCTGGAGAGACACGCCTAGCTGAGCATCTACACCTCACTCACATTTCTCCTCAAGAACAGTTACATACAACACTACGATTGCACCACTGCAAATTGCAGTCAAAATAGCCCATCTGAAAATCACTTTAATATCAACACCTAATACTGAACACGGAGGAAAGACTAACAGTAAGCATCTGTTTTATTCTGTTTTCAATGTGCTAATCATCTAGTTCAGATTCTCATTATCGCTGACTGTTACATTCAAGCAATTACAATAAAGCAAACCATGCTTTCAATGTTTTCTGTACCAACATTTCTGATCCTACTATTACTAATTTCCGTATTGGACCCTTTTCACATAATGAAGCGCTTTAAAAGTAATGACTTTAGCATTAAAATTGATTCTAAAAATCATCTGCAGATGTGAGAAGTCAAGCAATAAAAGCAAGAGTGCACTTACCAGTTTAATAGCTACATACTCATTTGTGTAGAGATTTTTTCCTGGAATAAGACAGGAGAGCAAAAGCATGGTTCAGATGTTTTAAAAAATAAATTACACTATTTTAGAGAAAAGATAACTCTGTAATAGATTAGATGACATACTTCCAGCAACCTTTGCAGCATCCATGTCTGCTATGTCTGCTAGCAAATCATGTCCTGCATAAATATTTTAACATCTGATTGAGATTCAGCTTACCAAGCTTCAATTCGCCAAAGTTTCCACAACCGATCTTTTTGCCCACACGAAAATTTGGCCCCACCATGAGAACCCCAGAGGAGCTGGAGGAGCCAGATGGCCGCGACGGGTGTCCGCTGCGGCCTCCCTGGGACACTTTAGCGCTCCTTTGTCGGTCGCCATACTTGTCTCTTTGCTGATCCATGGTGAGAGCAGCACAGGTCAGCAGGAGCCTGGAGTGATGTACAAAAAGGCCTCCTGGGCCGGGCCCACCACAGCCACAGCCCTGGTCACTGGAGGTGCCTGGATGGTACAGTCACTCTCATGGGACAAAACTTGATGCAGCTGACCGACACTCCGACCTGTCCTCACCCTCACCTCTAAGAGATGTTAGGCCTCAACATTTGTCACAGGAAGGAGAAGGTGAAAGACCTGCAACAAACAACATATGGCAATACTTAAGATATTACCCTTTAATAAAGAACATTTTACCCTGATTAAACTCTTAAAAACCTCATTGCATCAAAAAGAATACAGATGATCACAGATTAAAATGAACCAGAAAATGAAACTCAAATGTTTAGGTGTTAGATATTAATTTTTTATGTTTTCTCTACTGCTATTACTAGATGAAAAATCTAAAAAGAAAAAAAAAAAAAGAAAAATCACACTTTACTTCATAAGTAAATAATACAAAAGGTTTTTTAATGACAAAATGAAAAATCCAGACTACATGTTAGGTCATAAAATTTCACTGATAGTGATTCCTCAACAACAACAACAACAACACATAATCTAACTTCCCCATAAGAGACCAGGTTTAACTCTCTTTGAAAGTCGTTTACAGGCTGTTAAAAAAGAGAAAAGGAAAAACAAAAAAAACAAAAAAAAACTGTGTTTACAAGTACACAGTGCTAAACAAGGACAAATGGCTCACTCTAACAGGCTGCTGGGTGAAGAGATAGTAATCAGGTCACAGTGGTCATAGAAAACACAGCAGGTAGTTTGAGCATCAACACAAAAACCTTAAGTCATAGTTTGTGTTTCTGAAGGCATCTCACTACCCACAGCTAAACCCCGCCAGACAAAGTCAGAGGAGAATATTATGTAAACAATTATATAAAGCCATGTTGGCTTGCAAGGGCACCGAAGCTCAATTTTATGGACACTGATCCGATTGTTTTGAGCACTCAGTAGAATCCTTTTTGGTTTTAACTTCTTTCCTTACATGATTACATTAAATTATGAGAATTCAGAAGAAAAAAAAAGCAGTTAATATGCATTGAACAATTACTTATGGCACATGCTTTTTATCAACTGCAGGCCTCTTGGGAAAATCCTGTTAACCATTCTCAACAAATTATAACACTGCTGAAGCACGACAAAACGTTGCCTGTTAATTAGGCCGATTGACTATTCTGCTAATTATTTACTCAAAATACCTCTTCAATACTGAAAACAACTTTTTGTGTTTTGAGGAAAAACATCAGCTACTACTGTTTTCATGACAATGCTGTAATTCCTGAGCATGGAAAAACTGCTGCTGAAAGTATTTGTGTGTGGGCTTCTGGATGACTCACGCTCAGTGTTGCCTGCACAGATCTCAGCATCAAAGACAGCTAGTTTGCTCTCAAGGGCAACTGTGCAGTGTTACTATTACATAAAACCAGGAACAGCGCAACATAGCTATAAAACAAGCTTGCAGCAAGGCCCAATGGTGAGCAGCTTCCATTGTGCAAATAAGCATTTTTAGGCCTCACTAACCCAGCATGCACCAGGGTTTACACCAGCTAAGCTAATTCGAGCTACTTAGCTGTACCTCTCAACTGCATCTGTTATGTTGCTCACTTTTACAGTGTTTGTAATGAAATGATCTAACAGATAATACATTTTCCTTTATTGTTAACTGCACAAAATGTTTGTAACTCCAGTTTAGTTGAACTAAACTGTAGTATTTAATTTCTGTCTATAATTATCACTAATTC